ACTGTTTTAATCAGTGAAGTTAGATCAGAATTAGCATTCTAATCAAAAAATTAGAACGCTAATTTTAGAATCATTATTTTTTTCTGGCACTGCTTGCCGTTATCTGCAGCAGACGAAGGGATGAAATGGACAGAGGGAAGTAATACACATGCAGCAACGGGTCTAAGGGTCGGGAGTCGGACCCTGAACCACTGCAAGAGCTGACCACTCTATTCACGTATTTAACATGTAATCTGTGTACATAGTGCTTTTGACTAATTCTGATTGAAAGAAAAAGTTTCATACTATCACGTAATTTAATTCTCATTACTTATATGGGCCTTTATGGTGTGAAGCACTTCGCTTCCTCTCGATGTGTTGCATCATCAAGCAGACCTCCATCCTGCTCATCCTTCAGAGCCTGTCTGAACTGAAATGCACTCAACCTGGTTCCCTGCTGCTTGACTTCTAGCTTGTCACTCTGTTGCCATAGTTACACTTTATCATTGGAGGAGACTTATGACAGCCTGCACATGAACAATCGAGATTTACAGACTTCAATCTGGATTTTTTTTAATATTCCTTTAAAGTCAACTTGCTTTATTTATCTAGGTTGAGCTTTCCAAAAATATCTTGACTCAGAGGTACTGTACTCTTTGTGCTGTTAACTACACAGAGAAGAAACTATTATTTTTTCTTTGTGTTGCTCTGGGTTGTTTACTTCAAACTGTTTCCAGACAGATATCAATGCAGCACACCTGAACAGAAAATAAGTTGCCTTGAGCTTTTACCAACGTGGGGTTCAAATTGAGTTTCCAATTCTCAGTGTACACATCCACAGGGGATAGAAAACATTAACATTTCATCATCTTATTACAATAATTAAGTGATCTCATGCAGGGAACGTAATAATTAATTTCATTTCTGTGCTAAAGTCCTCAGCAACTTTGGTGGTTTAGTTAATAATAGTCTAAGAGATCAGCATATTCCCCTTAACGAGAGTAAAAATTTTAAAACTACACTTTAAGGCAATTACCTTTTGATTAAAGCATTTTCATGACATGAAACTTTTATCTTCAAAATGGATAGACAAATAAAATTAACACTTTTGACAAGCTTAAATATAGAAACCAGTAGGAATATCTCCCTCTGAATGAAAGCAAAGGTAACTATTTATTGGTTTTTATTGTTGTTGCAATCATACATTTTCCACTGATGACTCTATTTAATTTAGTCTCTATCAGATGTTTTTCAAACCATGTTTTAACCAAACAAATTTAGGAATATGCACAGCTGTCTGAACAGTTAACATAATTCTGCAATCCATAATTTTCACTTACAGATACAATAAATCCTGCCGTAAACATTCCATAATGAATAGATAATCACTTCGTCTGTCAGTGGTTGTAATTATATGCCTAATTAGTTTATATAGCAGAAATGCTCTGATATATTCCCGTGTCTCTTGGTGTCTTATTTGTGTGTTTTTGTTTTTTTACATAACTCCTTTCTAAGATCAATACAGGTAGCCCATGAGTTCTTGGCAAGCAGAGTTTCTTTCATCGACTTACTGTATCTGACTGCGTAACTATCAGAGGAGCTGTTAGTCTTTTTAAAGAGAACCTGCATGTCAGTGTTTGTTGAAACAACTTTGCCGTTGGTATACAGAGTGTACCGGTTCCTTGCTGACAAACTATTGGTAATTCTCTACACAGCAGGATGGGAAATTGGATAGACCCTATTAAGCCTCTTTGCAGTGGCTTTAAGTAGTCATTCTTCTCTCATACACACTCGCTTGCAGAAGAAAAGTAAACTCACTCCCAGGAGTTGATGTTGGCACACAGCAAGCATCAGTTCTGCCTACATGCTGTGACCCAGCATGGAGTGTGACCAGCTGTCTGTGGCTGGACCCTGCCAGTTCTCAGAGTGGAGATTTGTGTGCATCTGGGTTTACTTGGATGCCTTACATGGGATTTTTGACATCCTCACACTAACCCCACTTCAGCTCTGTGAGAACCGTTCTATGAGTTAACACCAAAAAATGTAAGCTAAAAGAAGTGTTGGATTTGGTCCACCATCTGAAGTAAACTATTACCTACAACCTATTGATTTTATGGAATACCAGTTTGACAAAGAATGTAAATAAAAAACAACCCTATTTATTCTGGAAAAAAACTGAAATAAAAATACCTTTTATTTGAACTGTGTGTGTTATTTAACAGTCTTACTCTCCAAAGTGGGTGTTACTGATTTTATTTTACAATGTTTTGCAAAATTGTTGGTACCCCTTGTTTAATAAAAGAAAAACCAACAATTTGTTACAGAAAAATGTTGAATCAATATTATTACTCAAAAGTAGTAATAGATAAAAACAAATCTATGAAAATGAACAAATGAACATCAGACAGAATGGTTTAAACTCTTAAAACCCACCTAATTCTGGGTAATCCTCGCCTATTTTGCATAGGCAAATGGAAAAGCAAATAACTGGGGAACTGTCAGCCCAAATTACATGTGTGGTACATAATTTGAAAGCTAACACCCTCTAGTTTCTGAAAATATTAATAATAAAATAATGTGACTAAAACATAGCCTCAACTGAATCAGTTCAAACATGATTCAAGGTTGTTGTTTTCTTCTTGTGGAAAATAATAGGTCTTTTTTGAAAAGCAGTGATAAAGACGTGCTTGAGAATAGGAATGTCAGAAAATTTCAAACCTCTCCCTGCAACAGTTCCAGAGCTGTGCAGCGTTGAACTTTTGGCATCACCAGCATCACCAAACCTCTCCAAATGTGCCAAATTGTGCCAATTGTTCAATTTGACCCACAGAATAACACAGAAGCATTTTGATGGCCACAAAACATTTATGAAGCAGGTATGTTTACACTTTTTTGTTATTTCATCTGGAAAAAATAATGAAACAGGCCTGGTACTGATAACTACTAAATACTAATGATTAAATGCAGCCGCCAAAAGGGTTTTCTCTGAATAGTTCAGAGAACTAAAGTGAGCAAAAAAACCGTAAACATCACACAGCAGTGCTCTGTTCATGGAAATAACAATAGACGATGGGCGATGAGCTGTGCTCTGATTGGTTGGTTTACAACGAGCAAAGCTGCTGAGCAAAGACGCATCATAGCAACAAGCACTCACTCACTAAAACATGAAATTGTTGATATGGTAGGGTGACCAGACGTCCTCTTTTTCCCGGACATGTCCTACTTTTCATATCTAAAAAAATGTCTGGGGGGAATTTTCAAAACTTCTGTGATTTTGGTTGAATACAGTGCAGCAGAACCGAGCCGCTAGCTCCAGTCCTGCTCCAGGAACTCCGGCAGACGGGGGGAGTGAGCCAGAGTGAGACAGAGCAACTGAACCTGACCCGGTGACGGTAGCAGCGGTAAGGCAGGCGGTGGGAAGCATACTGTCACCGGGTTGGGTTTGGTCACTCCATCCCCGGCCGCCAGGGTTCCCTGACCAGCCCCGGAGCTCATGTCCCGCCCAAAACATCAAACCTTGCAGGGATCTTCTGATAGACAAAAATAATCCATGCCTGTCGAGTCTTCGGATCCTTAGGAAGACTGAAAATGTACCCTTTTCTCCATGCAGCCCGGTACTAGTGGGCTGGTCTGTATGTCAGTTTTGTGGCGTGACAGAATACAGGCCAGAACCAAATAAGGTAACATTCCCAAGTCTACGTCAACTTGGGGCTGTGTTTGAATTCGCCCGTTTTAATGTTGAAGGTTAGAATTGTTAGATTGGCAGAGAAAGGAGGTGTCGATGGCGTTTGAACTTCTCTGTATGTCCATTTTACCCACTGAACTATCGATATTCATCTATGACAATGTAAACTCGGTTTTGCATTGTATGACCCCTTAAAAATACATCCAATATCAATGTTATACCTGGCTTACACTGATTTCACCTGTTTTATCAGTAGCTGGGAGTGGATGATTCCCCTGTGCTGTAATGACACTTAGGGGCACTGTGTGCATTTACCTAATTAGTTAGCCAGACCAATATGAGTGGGATAATTGATTGTACGGATGATTTGCAATTTAGCCAGGCTAATAATTTGTTATGATTAGAACATTAGAGATAAAAACATAACACAGGTATGTAACCGAGTGAAAGTACTCTGGCAGGTTGATGCTCTCAGTTTTTAATCTACTTTAATGATATTTCACCTCGCTAAGCTAACATTGTAAGAAGTGCGGGGCAGTGGATGATGAACTGCTGGTCTCAGCTCAGCACTGTACACTCATAAGTTACGTCTGAAGGAGATTACATTTCGTCAGACAGTCTCTCTGTGTGGAAGTGTGTTTCAAGCTACATTTATGTGCATGTAGCTCTGCTGGCATAATATTTGAACACTGAAGAGAAAGAGTTATGATACCGTAAGTCATTTTATGTAGTGAGATGCATCGCATGCTGTAAAAATGTCAGGAGTCGAAATCAAAGTTGTACAAACATTTTTTTCTGTTGGCTTTATAAGATCCCCACATAACACATCCGCTCATTTTTGTGTCATTAAAATAGTCAAACACCTCAATGAATGGTCAGCTATCCAAGTCAGTTTGATTATCTTAATCAGCCATTTAATTAGCTTTCCAAGTTTAATTACACGTTGCAGATAATTCCACAGTTATTTTATAAGACACAGCAAAAGAGCCTTTCATTTCTGTATCATTCATACACTGCTCCTTTTTTCCTTGCATTTATTTTTGATATTTAGACTACTCAGCCTTTTATCCAGCCACCCTCTCGTTATCTGGCTGAATTTTTTATTCATCCTGTTGTGAATCTGACAAAAAGAAAAAAAAAAGCACATATTCCTTGGTATCGCTTTTTCATGCTTTTGTCTGTTCTCTCCCTCGCTGCATTGAGAGCAGAGAAACCCTGAGGAACTGAAAGTTTGAGAGTTAAAATCATTTTGAAGTGACAAAGAACGCTTCTTTTCTTTGATGTAAGGTGTAAAATTGTTGCAGTGAGGTGCTGACGTCGTCTGCTCTCTTTCCAGCTTTTTCCCAGAGGCCCACCTTGGCAGTTAGAGGAGAGGTCATCACCATGACAGCGTCCTCACAGGACTCCAACCCCTCGTTTGTGGCTGGCCTCTTCCTCCTCCTCCTCCTCCCAGCTGTTTACACCCAGAAATCGGCTTTCCCAACAACCCCAAGCACGCCTTTGTTTGACCCACTGACCCAACCAGAGTGTACGAAGAAAGAACATCCAAAGGTTTCCATCCAAGGTCTGACATTATTCAAGAAATATTTTTCTGCCTTCAGCTTCATGTAAAGTTTAAATGTTTTGTTGCAAGTTAAGACATGGGGGGTGCTTTTTAAATGAAATGCTTTAGCCGTGGCATTTCCTGCATTTGTTGGGATCCCTGATAATTTCCTACAACCTGCAAATGAATTCATATTCAAAGGTGACTAAATCATGCAAATCAACTTTGAGCTTTTAACTATTCTAATGATTTCATTCATTGAAATCATGCACAGAGTTGTACTTCACTTTATTCATGGATGTCTGAGCAATCTTGATGACTTTTGCTCTCAGAGCCATTAACTTTTCCTTTCCCAGAAAAATGCCTAGTAAATGACATGCCTACTTTTTCTGGTCAGGCAGCAGTCATGTGAGGCTGAGAACCATCGTTCGTTGCTCGTTGAGAGCCTAATCTGCACGGTGACAGCTGCTGTTTCTTTTAGCAAATGTTTAAGTCATTAAAAATACATTTTTTTTTGGCTAAAAAAGGTCTCCATCACTTGTCCAGCCTTTCTAAGAGGAGGTTAACCACCAGAGGTGGCGTGATGCCATAATGTAAGCTCATTTCGTGAATCGGGCATCAATCATACAGAATAAGGTGATATTGCAGTGAAAGCAAAGGTGTCTCTTCTTGGTTGTAAGAAAACAGCTAATATTTCCTGACAAATAAGTATTTCATAGTGACAATGGCAAGATTTAATCATATGCCTGTAGATTACTAAGAGACGGGGAAAAAAGCACGATATATAGAACAGTGAAGAGTAATGTTACATTAAAGTTCTGGGTAAAAAAGAGACCTGTTTAAGAAGTACTATAAAAAAAAAAAAAAAAAAGAAAAATCCTCTAGTGACAAGATTCAGTTCAACTAATTTTAGTTTAATTGAACTATTTTCACTTTTAAAGATGAGTCTTAATAAACTTAGAAATCATTGAAATTCTGTTCTGCTTAAAGTTAAATACAGCATGATACAGAAGCCTAGTTTAATCAAGCAGGTAGATGACCGAACAGGCCAGAAGGGAGCGGGCAAAAACACAAGAGTCGATGGTCAGATTTACAGTTCAAAACAGGAAACAAAGGCAACCATGGTCTCTAGGAGAGATTGGAGCCTGTGAGGTTAAGTAGTTGAGGAAACAATTGACTTAAATGAGCATGATTGGCAGGGATCTCAAGACTAAATCAGTTATGTAATAAATGAGGGTGACCAGTCATGAAAAAGGGAAGCAAACTGACAGCGTTGGTGTGGTGAGGGTTCAAGTAGAACCAAGCTTTTTCAACTAAAAGAACAGCTAACACAAAAATAGTGATCTGAAGGTACAGGGAACAGGAGACAAGAAAAAAATAAAACTGAGTAAACTGCTCATGGATAAATTAGAGTGATAGAAAAAAAAATAGCAGTAAAAGATCAAGATGCAAACATACACAACCAACTAAAACCAAAGATCCCCAGATCTTGGCCGACTGTTAATGATAGTGGAACATCTGTGATGCTGTGGGCCTGATTAATGGTGCATTATTGACTCTTTGTAATAACTTAAAAGTCTGGCAAGCTTAACCACTAAACTGACAGCAATGACACACCTAACGCTTCCTCTGCAATGGATATAGTAAAAGCAATTTGTTATTTTCACTATTAAATAATCTGTCATTTTATCTTGCTTACATACAAATGTGATTCTACAAAGAGTCATTTTTTTCGCATCTACTCCTTATGCCATTGAAATATATATTTTTTTTAATGGTGGCGATGGCAATTCATCTAAAATTGTTGGCATCTACAATCAGAGAATTCTTTAAAAGGCTTAAATCTAACTGTCAAACTATCACAGATAAGTGTAGTGTAATGACTCAGAACAGAGGGATGCAGTATTCAAAGCAAGACAGATAGTGGGAAAAGTGCTATTAATAACGACAGGTTCATGGTCTGCGGTAGCAGTGGCTACGCCGTCTAAGGCAGGAACCTCTACAGGAGAGAAACACAGGTTAGTGACCATGATAATCTGACAGGACGATTATGAACATGTGAGTCACTAACCTGGTTTTACAGTTCAGTCCTTGCCCAGAAAACGAGAATGATTCCAGCCGGTCGGCTGACAAGACACAGCAGACGCTGCCAGGGAGTTCCAGACAGTAAAGCCTGGAAAAAAGCAGGACAGGCACAAGAAGGAATCCAAGCAAACAAAGGAAGACAGGATAATCCACAGGGCGAAGTCAAGAGGCATCCAGCTCACAGCAGAATCCAACAGGAGTCAGTCCACAGGTCAGGCAAACAGATCAGAAAAGGGATAGGCAAGCTCAGAGGTCTGAATTCAGAAACAGGTCAGGATCAATTAAACAGAACACTACAAGTACGCTGGAAAACTCTCTACACCAAAGGCTCAAGAATAATTTGGTACTGATAGCTGGGACTGAGCAGTTTAAATAGAAGCAGGAGCAGGTTGATCAGATGAGCAGTGATGAGAAACACGGCAGAGTTAGACAGATGTATATGAGCAATTAAACCAGCCATCAGCGCCAAGATAATGACAACTAGGCTTGCACGTGGGATTATCTTACCACTTCCCCAAATGAGGAGTATAGTAAAGAAGGTTGAAAAAAAAAGCTACAAAGCCTCTTGTTACACACCTGCACTGTTTTTTTAAGTTTTGTTTTGTTTGTTGGTGTTTGATCCAGCTAGCAAAAACATAACTTTAAATTATCTTGCATAACTTTTAAAGGATTGGTAATTAATGCAGAGGAAAACGCAATGCAGAGGAAAATGCAAAGTCACTGGATAACAGTCTGAAGTGGCCAAAGGGTGTTTTATCATCAGTTACTTAGTTGCTTTCAGTGTAATCTCATTCTTTAACCCACAATTAGGGATTTACTGTTCATTCATAGCCTCACAGCCAATTGGAGTCCAACAGTACCAAAATCGAAGCTCCTCCTGTCGACAAATAAATCATATGAGAAGAAAAAAAGCAGTCAGCTCACATGCTAAAGAAAATGCAGAACAAATTTATGTTTGAAGCACTGAATAGAATTGGGCAACCTGCAAGATGTTGCTGGTTTCCTACCAAGCATTTAATTTAGGAGACAGTTTTCTGTATTTTTCTCATATTAAGCTCTCATATGTACAAGGTATCTCTTGCTGAATGTTGATAAACAGTTTAAAATGCCCGTATCCTCATGTCAGCTGCAGTAAAAGCCCACAGTTTGGTATCCATTCAGACCAGCATGCATCTATAAAAGTAAACAGGAAAGCACAGAACGACAAGAAAGAAATTAGTGTGAAGTTAAAAACACACTATCTGGGTTGTTCATCTGCACAGCAGCCCAAGAAAGTGGCTTTTTCCCCCTCACAGTGTGAAATTGAATGGTTTGAAGCACAGAATACCAGATATGGCAGAATGAAATGTCAAAATGCTCAAAATTGCTGTGTTTATTTTTGAATAGAGCTGTTTGCATTTCATCTGCCAAGAGCTGCAACAAAGATTGAAAGACAAAAAGGATCAGTGGTGAGGATTGAAGATAAACACATAATAAAAGAAGTGTTTTGAATGACACTGTGCCATTTTAGAAAGTATTATTCTTATATAAGTATTATTCTTTTAAATTTGCTTTCTTCTTAGCCGGTTAATCTACTGTATACTTCAGATTTCACAATTGGCTAAGGTAAACACAAGGGAAGGCAGTTTTCTTTGTCAATGTCGTTCATTTACTTGAAAAAAGGGAAGAAAAATGAAATTGAAGATATAAGCAGGAAAATATTTGTTTTCAATATGATTGATAGAATCTATGAGGAACAGTGACAATTTCAGGGTGTGCTCTCCCTCTTGCCGAATAAATGCTCAAAGTGTGGAACATATCTATCTTCGTGAAATCTATTGGATTCTATTGCTATTATTAAGAAAAATTATTAGTATTATTTTTTTTGAAAGAAATTTGAGGCCATAATGACTCATTTCACTGATATGGCACCAGATTAGTGAATTAATGACACAATGGTGCGGAGGTTTGACAGGACCCAAATGCAGACACAAAAGCTTGAGGTGGTTACTGGAAGGTTTAATAATGACAGTTCAACAGAAGCAAAAATCCAAAACATAAATCCACAAAATCCAAAAAAACTTAGAACCAGGAATACTTACAAAAAGGGGGCAAAGAAATGACGACCGATCTGCAAAGAGTGACTGAACAGGAGGAGGATATATGGCAGAGAGAAACAAAGGCTAATTAGCAGATTGGGAGCAGGTGTGAAGAGAGGCAGGAAGGGAGCTATGGAAAAGGAGACTGACACCAGAGGGCAAACAAGAAATATCTAACAACTTAAGTACAATCAAAAACAACTAGAACACAAGAATGGAAATAAAACCAATGAAAACTCAGAGATAAAACTTGAACAGAACCAAAACCAAGACAGTTAATAAACACTTCATTACTGTTCTTAAACAGCTTTTTTTAGAATCTCTACTTTACTTAAATATACATTTTTCTAATATTCAACTTATAATCCACATATTTGAACACACATTTCGGTAGGCTACCTTTAACCTCTTTTGTGTTTTTTTTTTTTTTTGCCAATTCTACACATACTAGATGTATTTCCATCAACCATTTTAAATGCGTTTCTTTAAGTTTCTGAAAAGAAGAGTTTGATAGAAACAGAAAATATTAAATAAACGTACAGAGTTTCATTAAAAAGTTTCTACACTATCTTTAGGTGGCGGGATTTCTTCGAAAAAAGTGTAAATATGCTAATGAGAAGATGGAAGCCGATTGTTCAAATGAGTTCTGATAACATTTACCTCATGTGACTGATCAGCTATTTCACCACCTCCGCCGTCCTGATTGCAGGATGAAAATCATGGTTATCTTGCATTGTTTTGGATGCATCAGATTGAAGAGGTGTGTCATTCATGACCTTTATTAGCATGGTCTCAGTGCCGTTCTAAAATAAAGACTTAAACACATGTAAAATATTGATTTTGACTGGATTTGACAAT